CATCTCATATCTCTCGCAAAAAAAAATGATCTCCTGCCACTTTCTCGCTTGTAACTGGAGTTGTTTTGTTTGTTCTGAATATTCTCCTGTTACTTCTGTTGCTGCCTCGCTCAAAATATGCTCTCAATAAAGATGTCAGCAGACTTTTATCATGCTTTTACCAAGGACAGTCAAGACATCAAACAACCAGCGAAATGTAGATTATAAAGTCATTAGAACTCCAAATATTTGCTGTTTGCTGAAGATCTGAAGATCTTTTATTGCAAATTTCAGTCAGATAATTTGCTCTTTTGTAGCTTGCATTTAAATATCAACCGTATCTTTGATGTTTCTCATAAAATTCCTTAGAAAAAACGAATTATAGACAAATGAGATCATTGTGGGCAAAGTATAGAGGTATTCAGTGAATGTGGATAGCAGTTTAGATCACTTGGTTTGGAGAATCTGATGGGAAATGTTTAAGTTAATGTTGAGATATCTTTATATTGCAGTATCTGATATCTTGGCAAATATGGACAGTTTTAGACATTGTTGAGATATCTTCTGAAAGATCACTGGGTTATTTATTTTTCTCTGAGAAGCTGGAGGCTTCATTGAAATTCTCCATTTAATCTCGTTGCTGTCTAGAAGAAAAAAAATAGATTAAAGATATATCATTTGGGATTTTTCGTTGCAATTGGAAATTATTTAAAAGTTTATTATATGACTTTTTATAGGATTTTTTATAGTTTAGCATTAAGTCTCTGTAATAAGTGTTCTGTATTTCACATTCCATAAAACAGTAAATGATGTGTATATGGGTAATATATGGATTAGTATGTGAATAAACAGTTGTATGCCATTACTGTATACATGGATATAATATCAAAGTTTTTTTTGAAAAAGACACATCAAAAAGGAATATTTGATTGTTTTAGATAAATCATTTGCAGTTAATAATGTATTTTTAAGTCACACAATCATCGTTTTCAATGTCAGTCATCAATTGCTATGTTTCTATCCACTTATTTTTATGCATATTTTGGAAAATCGCATACACAAATGCTAGACAGAAACGCCATGACGGCCATGAATTTTAAAAGTGCGAATAAAAAACGTATGCACGTAAAGACATGCACATAAACTACGATGAAAACACGTTTACAGAATAAGCGCATTCTCATCCCAAGGCGTCACTAAAATGACAATTTTGACCATGCTTCAATATTCGACGCTTTAGGCACCCTTTAGCGTCAGTTACATGACGCGATCCTAGGGCGTCATCTTACTGACCCTTTACCTAAGCGTCAGTTAGATGACGCGGGTAGGTTTAGGTCTGGGATAGGGTTAGGATTAGATAGCGTCATCTAACTGACGTTAAAGGTAAAGCGTCAGTAAGATGACGCCCTAGGATCGCGTCATGTAACTGACGCTAAAGGGTGCCTAAAGCGTCGAATATTGAAGCATGGTCAAAATGATTCCCAAGGCGTCAGTTTCATGACGCCTAGGGATGAGAATGGGCTGAAATAAACCCCTCGATGTGGAACAAAAAACTCATGACTTTGCATGAACTGTCGATGTGATTGGATAACTTTACTATACAACGATCGCATCGCACAGGACCTCGACATTTGGTTTGATCATTCTGAAATGCCTGAGCCAAAGTCTGTCATCAAAATTATGATTTTAATTCTCTCCCAGAACTGTTTCACATAATTTCCAAACACCAGGCATCTAAAGATAGCATGACAGCGTCATTTATGATGTAGGAAAAAAGAGCCACAGTGGCTTTCCTAATTGCAGCAACTTCCATATTTATTACAGATATTTTGCTCCAATTTTTCCAGGAAGTGTCGATTTTGTTCTCTTGAACACATGGGATGGATGCGCTGCTTTATTCGCAAATGTTTTATGCAATATTAAAATTTTGCGCGTAAGCTAAATTCGCAACTTTGGATGGAAACATAGTTACTGTCACTACCGAGCACTCGTGCACATCCCTAAATGTAATTATTTGACCACACTTATACATAAATAAATAAATCTATTCTTATTTGAAGCTTGTAGATTTGTGATGGATCACAGGCTGTCCAATGTCATACTTTAAAAAATCAGTATTTATAGTCATAGTGTGTGTGTGTATATACTTTATCACTGCATTAACATTTACTGCGCTTTAGATGCGTTCCTGTGACTTTTCTCCTGGGAACTGCATTGACAATAAAGTCATTCTAGTGTGTGAAGGGAACAGTTACAATAGCGAATACTTTTCCCCATCTCAGAGCATGTCCAGATCTGTTAAACATACGGATGATATAATGATTGCCATGCTGTGTTACGAACATGACCCTCAATCCAGGCAGGACATGTAAACTGTACAATATTATTTTAATTTAAAGCAACACCAAAACCTCATATATCAAACTAAAAAAAACTTCTCCTTTCAAATAGTCAGGTTTTGTAATTTTTCCCCCACTTGCAATTACTTTTCTTCATATTTTGCCTCTGTTCAACCACCATAATGAAAATTTAGTTGATAGATCAAACTTTAGTGTCTCTGTGGTACTTGTCAATTGTGTTGTTGTTGAAGACAAGACTATGTGTGTGTGTGTGTGTGTGTTTGTGAGTGTCTGAATATATTAGTTGTCCTAGACCCACCAAGATTAACTTTCTGTATGAAAAAAATACTCACAGCTGCTGTGTTTATGCATAACATTTAGCAAAAGAGCTGTTTGTTAACATGTTACTGTGATCTGACATTATTCAGAGTTATTCCAAGCTCCGTTTTAAAAGAGAAAAGGCATATTAAGCAGCTTAAACCTCATTTAGCAATAAATTGTATATTGTTTACTGCTTGCTAAATTGGCTTAAATCAATTATGAATTGCGGCGCAGAACTGTAATTGCAATTGAATTAGCCTGTGTTCTTTGGAAAGTCTATTAAAAAGACAAAAGCATGATTTTCTTTTCCTTTTTATTATTTCTTGGCAGCTAAGGCACTGATCCAGTGAATTTTTAATACCAAAAGGGCAAGAAAACAAATTAATGTCAAAGTAAACAGTGTTATTTGGGATGTTTGCTAAAAGCAAAGTAATCCTTTAATTAAATAAAGTAAATTAGAACCAAATTAGAAATTCTGCCCATGTCCTGTTGCCCAGTGTTTTGGAGGATTGTTGGTTTGTTGCTAGGTAACAGCAACTGCTGACGACAATTAAAGTGTTGCAGGTATGAAATCACTTTGTAGGCCAAAACGCGGAAACGAAGTTAGCATTTTAGCACTTCCGGTTCCATCGTACCAAAGTACAAGCCATTTTTTGAATGGGATTTTGGTTAAATGGCTGAAATAAGGTCTGTGGTGAACACACGCTCAAGACACTTTCATGTTTCACAACATAAAATACCGAGACTATCACAACATAAAATACCGAGACTAAGACTGTGGCGTAGTTCGTTTATAGTTTTTTTAAGTTGGTTTTTTGTCCCAAAAGCCTATGGGAAACTCCTATTGGGTTTTTAATCGAGAGAACCAGTGTGATGCTAACTGTTGGTTGGCCTACAAAGTGACGTCATACCTGCACCACTCTATAACAAAGGTTGCAGATTAGGCTTACAATGCTTTTGGGAAACCCAGCCCTGGTCAGTTATTGTCATGTTCCGGTAGCGTAATGTGGGCAGCCTTCGTTTTCAAAAGTCTCTGTTTTGGTCCATTTACACTGAAACGCAACCCTGGAGTTTTCAAACTAAAACTGGTTCTGCAGCATTCTCGAAAACGCCGGAGTAGTGTAGACGACAGGCGTAACCGAAGCAAAAGTTATGCGTTTTAAAAACGAAAACGCTCTTGTGTAAACAGGGCCTTAGTAGGCTAGTGATGCTACAGCATCACTATTAATATTGCTCATACTTAGCATTAGTGATGTGGACAAACCATTAATGCTAAACGTATGAGAACTTTGCACACTATCTAAAATGTACTTTATAAAGTTGTCATTTTTAGTGTGAATTCCTGCCATTGACCAAACAATATCATAAATATGCAGTTGTAATAATTTAGTGTCCTGCATATGTTATTTATCTGAGTTTACAGAATCCTCAAAATATATCACCGCTATTTCAAATAGCCGTAAACCTTGGGCACAGCACTGTGCCAGCAGTGTTAAAAAAACTATTGGAAGGATTTACGAAAGACACGCAGTGAAAGATTAGCACTGAAAAGGTGAAAGTTTCCCTTTCAGATGTATTCAAATGAATCATACAAGGTGATTTACTAAGGTTTGCGCTCGTCAATTTACTAGTATTTGCGCCATTATTTACCGCCATTATTTACAAAAAAAAACATGTCTTAAACCAGATGCTATTTTGCGCTGCTCTTGGTAGATTGTGTTGGTGATTATGGAAATGATCCGGCTGCGTCCGTGTTCTTTATTTGCATCATTGGGTGTCTTCAGTAGATCACGCGCAGAACTTTACACTTGCATCAGCGCTTTTATGGGATTGCATCTTCAAGCTGATTTGCCCTGTTTAGTAAATCTGGTCCTTTAGTTTGACATAATAATGATCTCTAGCAGTGTGTCCTTGTGTGGCCTTCCAGTGCGCGTGACTGGCAGGTGACAGCTGTCACCGTGTGCTTGGTCAGCTCTTCAGATGGATTTCTGTGACTACAGCAGCAGTATGTGTGTGTCCGATCAGAACGGCTATATCACATTCACTTCTTCTGCAAGAAATAGACCTGTCCTCTGTGCCTGCTAATGATACGCAGTGTGAAACAGTGATTGGATGTCAACATGATTGATGTGGGTGTGGAGAGGGAGGGTCCAGCGCTCTCTTGGGCCATTATCTCTTCAAATTATATCAAGGCTGTCTCGTTAGTCGACTAATAGACTTGATGATGAAGTTTTGGTAAAGCCTTGACTAAAGGACATACATCTTTGAAACACCAAAAGAAAATAGCTGATGGGATTCACCTGAGAAATGTCAAATATGTGCATTTAAGTTAAGTTTCTTCATTTCTTTGTATCTCCGCAGTCTATCCGGGAGGTGACGGGTTACGTGTTGGTGGCTCTGAACCAGTTTGACTATCTTCCTCTGGAGAACCTGCGGATCATCCGTGGCACTAAACTGTATGAAGGACGCTACGCTCTGGCCATCTTTCTCAACTACAGACGAGATGCCTACTACGGCCTGAGACAGCTCGGCCTCAAGAACCTGACAGGTATATTCTAAATGCTCATTCAGATATTGTAACTGCAGTTTAAAACTATTTTCTTGACTTTTGTTGTTTTTTATGTCAAAATCTTTGTCAAAGAAGATAAATGTCTTTCTTCAAATGTTCTGTAAGATTCTACTGATAACATTTCCCCAAAACATCTGTCTGAAATGTGCATTTAAGATGGTTTAGCAGCTTTAAAAAAAAAAAAAAAGCTGTATTTTTGTTTAGCACACATTCTTTGTTTGAATAAACCTGGAGTTTTTATAGTTTAAAGCTTAAAATATTTTCTAGATAATGTGCTTTTTTTCTGTGAACATTACCGTTCGAAAGTTTGCAGCCAGTAAGATTTCTTTTCGCCTGAAAAACAAAACCAAACAACAACTATACCTTTATTCAGCAAATAGAAATTAAATTGATCAAAAGTCACGGTAAAGACATTTATAATATCACAAACGATTTCTATTTCAAATAAATGCTGTTCTTTTGAACTTTCTATTCATCAAAGGATCCTGAAAAAAATCACAGTTTCCTTAACAATATTAAGCAGAACAACTGTTTTCAACATTGATAATAATAAGAAATGTTTCTTGCGCTGCAAATCAGCATATTAGAATGATATCTGAAGGATCATGTGATACTGAAGAAATTCAGCTTTGCATCACAGGAATAAATTACATTTAAAAATATATTTAAATAGAAATTATATTTCACAATATTACTGTATTTTTGAACATTAGGGATGTTTTTCAAAAACATTTAAAGAATGTTACTAACCCCGAACTTTTAAACAGCAATTACTGGATCAAAGATAATGAAGACCTGTTGTTAATTCTTTTTACAAATTGTAATTTGTCTAGTGCTAGTGCAGCACATTTATTTACATGGCCAGTTATTATAGTTCAGTCTATTTTTGTAATGTTTTGATGTCTAACTGATGTCTGTGTAAGTCGTGGTCTTTGTGGAAATCAGCATAGCAGGGACTGGTTTATGTGAACACGTTAGATAAGATTGGCACTAATAATGTCTTTCATGCTGTGCAATGCAGCAGTTATGATAATCATGTACATAAGAAGACGTCTCTCATATAAATTAGTCACTCCTCATTATGTGACTGCTTTTTATCTTATCAGCGTATTATGTGTATCATTTGAACATGTTTTACAGATTGCATCTAGCTTTTTTTTTTTCCAGCCTTGCTTGGTTGCCCCATAGGGAGACTTTCGTTTACATCTTATACCATGTGAAATAGAAACTCATCTTAGAACAATATTTCCAGATCCCCGTTGGGATGCATAAAGATATGGAGAGAAACAGAAACAGATCAAGGAGTCAAACAACCAACAGACCAATAGAGGAAGTCGTCGGCGCCTCAAAGCAAAATAGCCAGAGGCGTGATAACATTTGTCTGACTTCTGATGACTCATGACGGCCAATAGAAGCCCAGAGGAGTTCAGCAGGTGGTGCGAGGTCACAGTAGGTGAGGGACAGCAAGTTAAGACATGCCCTGCAGACATATTGCGGAACCATGTATTATTAATCTCAAATATGGCTTTTTCATTTTAATGGCTGATTAAACGATATCTTGGAACAAGGATGAACAGAGCGCTGACAGTATGGGTGCGCCACTGCATTCTTGTCTTCACTTTTATTTGTTTCCTCAAAGATATGATTTTCCTTTTATTGTTACTCTCTTTGTTGTGATGAGGTGTCAGATGGCATCTTTAAATGAATGGGGTTACAGGGCATGTCTTTGAAAAGAATCCACACAGCAGTTTTACTGCCACAAGAAAGATTTTGTCAGGCTTACAGTACATGAGAAATATGAGAATAAAACATGAACTCGGCACTGACATGCTGTGTTCATTGGTATTGAATTGACTTATGGAGAACGTCTCAGGTTACTACTGTAACCATAGTTCCCTGAGAAAGGGAACGAGACGATGCGTCACTTGACGCTTTGGGAACGCCCCCAGCGTGCATGCGTCTGAGCATCAATGTCAACTAGTCCAATGGAAAGAATGAGCGTCACGGGCGGGTGACGTCATGACCAGGAAGGGATAAAGGCTCACCCGGTGAAACGCGGCATTAGCTTCAAAAAGTCGAAGCAAGCCGATCACAGGGAAGCAGGAAGTATGGCAGGGTGACGCATCGTCTCGTTCCCTTTCTCAGGGAACTATGGTTACAGTAGTAACCTGAGACGTTCCCTTTCGAGGGAACTCGCGATGCGTCACTTGACGCTTTGGGAACGAGAATACCCAAACCGCCAGAATTCCAAGTACCTGAGTGTCAGTCTGTTGGAACTAAGCACTAAGCACCTGAGAACCTGGGGCAGCATCCAGGTCCAAACTGTAAAACCTGACGAATGTGAGCGGTGAGGACCAGCCTGCCGCATCACAAACGTCTTGGAGGGAAACCCCAAATAACAAGGCTTTAGAGGCCGCCATACCCCTCGTTGAGTGAGCTCTGACCACCAAGGGACACGGATGGTCAGAGTACTCGTATGCAAGTGCAATAGCCTCGACTATCCACTTGCTAACCGTCTGTTTAGAAGCAGGAAGACCCTTCTTAGGTGATCCAAAGCAAATAAATAACTGGTCGGACTTCCTCATAGACGATGTCCGATGAACATAAGTATCCAGTGCTCGCACTGGACACAAGAGGTTCAGCCTTTCCTGGTCCGCAGATGTAAAAGGAGGAGGACAGAAAGCCTGCAGCACGATAGGCCTCGGAATCAAGGTCGGCACCTTAGGGACGTATCCCTGTTTTGGATATAAGAACGCCTTGACCATCCCCGGTGCAAATTCAAGGCAAGTGGGGGAAACCGAAAGGGCCTGAAGGTCTCCAACTCTCTTAAGGGACGAAATAGCTAGCAGAAAGATAGTCTTAAGGGTAAGAAATTTCTCTGAAACCGAATCTAAGGGCTCGAATGGAGCCCTAGACAGGCCTTCTAGTACTATTGCCAAATCCCAAGCTGGCACCCTAGTGCGAGTTGCAGGCCTCAGCCTCAATGTGCCACGAAGGAAACGTGTAATCAGGGGGTCTCGACCCAACGATGTACCCCCAACCAGGGCGTGGTAAGCCGCAATGGCCGCCACGTAAACCTTAAGTGTGGAAGGACATAACCCTGACGTAAAGCGCTCCTGCAAGAACTCGAGTACTGTGTTCACAGAACAGTTAACCGGATCCCACTGATGTCGGTGACACCATACAGAAAAAACTTTCCATTTCAGCGCATATAGTTTCCTAGTAGCTGGAGCTCTGGAGCTTAGGATGGTCTCAGCAGCCTCAGCTGAGAGACCACTCTCTATGAGTTGGGCCCCCTCAGAGGCCAAACCCACAGGTTCCAAATCTCTGGTCGAGGGTGAAATATTGTGCCCCCGGCCTGAGACAGAAGGTCTCTCCTGATCGGGATCTCCAAGGGAGGACCGTCTAAGAGATGGATCAGGTCCGCAAACCAGATCCGACTCGGCCAGCGTGGTGCTACAAGCAGTAGGCTTATTCCGTACTGGCGGACTCGTTCCAGAACTCCTGGGAGCAGAGCAACAGGGGGAAATGCGTACAGACGTAGCCTCGGCCACGTCTGCACCATAGCATCCAGCCCCAGGGGGGCTGGGTGAGTAAGGGAGAACCAAAGTGGACAGTGCGTCGTGTGCTGAGACGCAAACAGATCCACCTCTGCTTGGCCGTAAAACTCCCAAATTTTTTCCACCGCCTCGGGGTGGAGTCTCCAGTCCCCTGGCCTCAGCTCCTGCCTCGACAGGATGTCTGCCCCCACATTCTGGTCCCCAGGAATATACACTGCCCTCAGGGAGAGTACCTTCCCCAGAGACCACAGGAGGATCTGGTGCGCCAGTTTGCAGAGCGGACGCGACCGCAGACCCCCCTGACGGTTCAGATAAGAGACCACTGATGTGTTGTCTGTTCGTACAAGCACATGATGGCCCCTCAGGTCTGGGAGAAACTGTCTCAACGCATTGAAGACAGCCATCATCTCCAGGCAATTGATGTGCCACGAAAGATGATGACTTTTCCACAGACCCTGAACCGAGCGGCCTTCCATTACCGCTCCCCAGCCGGTGAGGGAAGCATCTGTCGAGATCGTAACTCGATGGCAGAGAGCTCCCAACACCGGACCCTGGGTTAAGAACCAGTGTTTTTTCCATATAACCAAGGCACGAAGGCATCGCCGCGTGATCTTGATCATACGAAGTGGGTTTCCCCTCGGGGAGAACCCCCTGGTCCTGAGCCACCACTGCAAAGGTCTCATGTACAGCAGGCCAAAAGGAATCACGTTGGACGCTGCCGCCAAGAGACCCAACAGTCTCTCGAACTGTTTCACAGTGCGTGACTGGCCTAGCTTTAGCTCTTTGGTGGCTGTCAGGATAGCAGCTACACGAACGGGCGATAGAGTGGCCCGCATCGTCACTGAATCCCATACCACACCAAGGAAAGTGGTTCTCTGTACTGGAGAAAGAACACTCTTCTTGGCGTTGAGCCTCAACCCCAACATCTGCATATGGGCGAGAACGACACCTCGGTGCCGAACCGCCAACTGCTCTGATTCCGCCAGAATCAGCCAGTCGTCGATGTAGTTCAGAATACGTATGCCCTGAAGCCTGAGAGGGGCTAGAGCTGCATCCACGCATTTCGTGAACGTGCGGGGTGATAAAGCTAGACCGAAAGGAAGAACCCGATATTGGTATTCTTTGCCCCCGAAAGAAAACCTTAGGAACTTCCTGTGCTGAGGGAGGATGGAGACATGGAAGTAGGCGTCCTTCAGATCTATCGTGACAAACCAGTCCTCGGATCTGATTTGAGTCACGATCTGTTTGAGTGTTAGCATCTTGAACTTGAGTTTCTGTACTGAACGATTCAACAGACGAAGATCTAAAATGGGACGCAACCCCCCATCCTTTTTTGGAACAATGAAATAACGGCTGTAAAAACCCGACTCTCTGTCGGGTGAGTACACCTGTTCTATAGCTTCCTTTGCTAACAGGGCC